CTTTGAAAGGACCCCTCATCCCTGCATTTGGAAAGCATCACATGCCAGGCAATTCCTCTCCCTGGCACCGTCTCCTCTGGGGTGTCAGATGGGTCACTTCACTGGAGTTCTGTGAATCAGGTCAGTCTGTTCCTCTCATTAACCTGATCTCATTCTGTTGGCAACAGGCAGTGGCCCGAGGCCCTGCTGCCTCCTGAAGGCTGCCCACTCCCGCGGGGCTGCTGGGAGCAGGAAGAGCTGGCGGAGCTCACACCGGAGCCAGGCTGGGTTCTAAGTGCTCTCCCTGCCTGTCTCCTTTAAGTTTCACGGAGGTATTATTATCTTTTCCTCCCCATTTTACAGATTAGGAAACTGAGTCACTGGAGTTAGGCACATTGCCCAAGGCCTCACAACTAATGTAACTGGGGAAGTGGGGATTTGAACCTACATCTCTCTGACTCCAGAGCCCGGGGGCTTAACTCCTGTACCACACTGCTAAGGGTTAGCTGGCCGGGAGGGGGGAGGGCGTTATTTGGACTAGTTTTCATGGCTAGAACTTTGGTCGATTATCTAAGGACACCCATTTTCATCAATGTTGATGGTGCCTTATGCTCGTGGCAGACAGTAATTATAATTTCCCTTCCCCATCGAAGCCATATTCATTAGACCAGGGATGAGATCCTTATCTCATCCAGACCAATAGAAGGTCTCCAATAGGAATTTTCAAGTTGGAATTTTCAAAAAGAGCAAACAAAGATAAACTCTGGCAATCCCCTGCTGGTCACGCATCCTAACCTGTGCCTCACTCCCCTCTCCATCCTGCTCTCAGCTCTCCCCCTTGCCAAGTGGTCATCTCATTTTTGTCATTGCATCACCCTGACTGGTCAGAACTGGTATTGTCTTCCTGGTGGGACTTGGGCTTCTTTCCACGGGATTCATTCTTCCTGCTGCTCAGTTGAATCGCACCATCTTGACTAACTCCCTCCCTGGGGCGGTGGGGAAGGATGGCTAGCACTGTTAAAAACAAACCAAGGCACCACGCTGTGGCAAATGGACCCGAGCCAAGCTGGCGGCTTAGAATCATTCGGTTCTTCGTGCAGGGTAGCGACCGCCTTCCGCAGCTAAGGGGAGGGAGGACTATCGGTCTCATCTACCACAACCGTCCAACTAAGGGGGGTGTTCCTTTGCATTGAAAGTGAGACCCAGGCCCAATTCTGCTGCACACACAAACACGAATAAGCAGGCGCTGTAAATAAGGCACGGTCTCTTTTTTCTGTCTGATGACATCTTTGCTCTCTGGCTGACCCACACTTGGCATCATGGGACAGACGATATTGTAGTGGCAGCATTCATCTGAGCCACGAGTCAGAATCAGGCCACAGCCTCCTCGGCTCAGGGCAGCACAGAGGTCAGGTGGCGTCTCAGGCATGGTGGGCTACAATAAAGTGTGCAAGCTACTGAGCCTCCAAAATTCTTACACTCTGTTTATGTAAGCAGAGAGGGCATGTATCATATTTCTGACTATCCACATATCTTTTGCACCATTGATTTTACAAATGAAAAATCATTTCTAAACCCATTATACCAATGAACAAACCCTCTAGTGCCAATGAAAGAAAAAGATTGCTGAAGCTCTACCCAGAATATATATATGGTCACACACATCTATGGTCAATTAATATTTGACAAGGAAGTTAAAAATATCCAATGGGGGAAAAGATAGTCTCTTCAATAAATGGTGTTAGGCCCTAGCTGATTTGGCTCAGTGGATAGAGCGTCGGCCTGCAGGCTGAGAGGTCCCGGGTTCAAGTCCAGTCAGGGGCACATGCCTGGGTTGCGAGCTCAATCCCTAATAGGGGGTGTGCAGGAAGCAGCCGATCAATGATTTTCTCTCATCATTGATGTTTCTATCTCTCTCTCCCACTCTCCCTTCCTCTCTGAAATCAAATAGATATATTAATGGTATTAGGAAAACTGGATACCCATACACAGAAGAATAAAATTAGACCCCTATCTTACATCACTCACAAAAATGAACTTAAAATGGATTAGAGACTGTCATGTAAGGCCCCACCTATAAAACTACTAGAAGAAAACATAGGGAAACGCTCCTTGACATTGGTCTTGGGAAAGATATTTTAGATATAACACAATGGTACAAGCAAAACTAAACAAGTGAAACTATATCAAACTAAAAAGCCTTTTGTTTTTGCACAAAAAAAGAAACACTCAGCAAAATACAAAGCAACCTGGGAAATGGGAGAAATATTTGAAAACCACCTATCTGATAAAGTGTTAATATCTAAAATACATAAGGAATTCATATCACTCAATAGAAAAACAAACAGTCCAATTAAAAATGGACAAAGGACTTAAACATTTTTCCAGTGAAGATATACAAATGGCCAACAGATACACAAAAAGATGCCCAACATCATTAAACATCAGGGGAATGCAAATCAAACCATGATGAGCTAGCACCTCAGACTTGTGAGAATGGCTATTATAAAAAAGGCAAAAGACAAATGTTGGTGAGAAAGTAGGGAAAAGGAAATATCCTTATACACTGTGGATGGGTGTAGCAAAT